GAAGGAAGGAAGGAAGGAAGATTGTTATCATTGTTGTTACTGTTATTTTAGTACGTATAATAAAAAACAGATATATTTATTGAATACTCATCATGTGCCAAATGTACTAAATACTTTCCATGAATTATCCCTCTTAATCCTAACAACAAATAGAGTAATTACTATTACTACCCACATTGCAAATACTAAGGCTCATAGAGATTTTGGTAACTGATTGGGATTCTTTTAAAATTATAGACCAAACAGATTCAAATGAAATCTTAACAATATTGAATCTTCTAATATGGAGGTCAGGAAATGTTTTCTATAAAAAGTCAGGTAGTAAATGTTGTTGGCATTACAGGTCATATGGTCTCTGTTACAGCTACTCAACTATGCCATTGTAGCATGAGAGCAACCATAGATAAGATGTAAATAAGTGGGATTGACTTGTTTTAATAAAATTTTATTTATAATAGTAGGCAGTAGGCTGGATTTTGCCCCCATGCCATTATTTACTAACTCCTGTTCTAATCCATGAGCATGGTATATCTCTCCATTTATTTAGAGTTTCTTCACTTTTTTCAGCAACATTTGGTACTTTTTGGTGTAGTAAGCAGTCTTGTATATTTTTGGGCTTTTAACTTATTCCCAGAATTTGTTTTGCTACTACTGGAATTGGAATTAAAATCATTTTATGCTAGTATTTTGAGAGGGTTTTTTGCTATAGGGCGTGTGCGTTCACCAGAAAGACAGAGAGAGACAGAGAGACAGAAAGTGAGAAATCACCCTCCCGGGGGGATGGCCATGCCACAATCCCTTCTCCTCCATTCTCCTCTTGGGATCTTGGGCATGCACGCACATGCGCCTGGCGTGAGTTTAAGCCACTGGGTCCGGGACTCAAACCACGGTTGACTGGAAAAGTCATATTTTTTCATGCAAAAATGCATCATGACTTTTCTGACAACATAATATAGAAAGATTAAATTGATTTTTAAAATTATTAACCTTGTGTTCTGCATTAATAAGTCTCTTTGAAATACAAATAGTAAGTGGCAGAGTTAGAATGGAAAATGAGGTCTTTTAGAAACAAAAGTACCTGGGAGGGGATTCTTCCAACTAATTATCAGGTTCAGGTTCAGGTTTAACTATGCTATCAGGTAGTTAATAGGTTAACTCACATTATTCTCAAAACATCTGTCCTGTAATATATGTGTATTATGTCTGTTTTTAATAGACTCAGAGAAATCTTTCTCCTTTTCAGATGTTCAACAAGCCAGGCCCCATAGGCATTGACCTCCTTTGTCTCTCTCTGGTCGACCTGGAGGAAGAGTCAAAGCCCCAGTCATCCCTACTCTGCCATTGAATGCAGGTGGCTACAGGCTCTCAATCGCTGTGAAAAAAAGAGGAGAGGAGAACTGAGTCAGCTCCTTGTTCCACCTATGGCCAAGGCAACCGAAAACCTATGGCCACGCCAACAGAATGTTGGGTCTCATGAAAGCCACATAGTGAGTTGTTGAGCCCAAGCCTTTTACTTAGTGGTGTCCCTGTTGTTTGTAGGCATCAATCAATGGGCAGCAGCCCACTCATCCTCTGAGAAAGGGGTGAGAGAGGGAGCAGCGATTAGTGTAATGGCTATGTTGCTGGACTCCCATGTAGTCAACCGCGATTCGAGTCCCGGACCCGGTGGCTTAAACTCACGCCAGGCGCGTGTGCGTGTGTGCCCACGATCCCGAGAGGAGAACGGAGAAGGGATTGCGGTGTGGCCATCCCCCCTGGGGGGTGATTTCTCGCTTTCTGTCTCTCTGTCTGTCTGG